GGACGCTTAACCGACTGCGCCACCCAGGCGCCCCTGATTATTCTGTCTTATAAGAGGTATTTCTACTAAGTATGATAGAAATCACTCTATGAAAATGAAGTTATCTAATTTCTTGATATACAACTTTCACAGCATTCCCTTATAATTTTTTCATTTCCATAATGTAAGTGATACTCTTTCACATTTGACTTTAGTGTGTCTCCTCTATTTATTACTTTTTAAGTACAGCTAAAAAGATATTATGTTGATCTTTTCAAAGAACCAAATTTCGGTTTCAATGATCTCTATTTTTTTTCCTCTTTATATTTATTTATGCTCTAGTCTGTATTCTTTCCTTCTTTTTACTTGCTTTGGGTTTAGTTTGCTCTTAGTTTCTTAAGGTAAAAGGTTAGATTATAAATTTGAGATCTTTCTTCTTTTTAAATTATAGGCATTTACAGTTGTAATTATCCCTCTTTAAGCATGCTTTACTTGCATCCCATATTCAAGAACCTTGTGTTTTTGTTTTCATCTGTTTCTAAATATTTTTTAATTTCCCTTGTGATTTTTTCTTTGGTTTATTGGCTATTCGGGGCTGTGTTATTTAGATACAATTGTGAATGTTCTAACTTTCCTTTTGTTAATGTTTTCTAATTTCATTGCCATGCGGTTAAAAAAAATATTGTGTGATTTCATCCTTTTATATTAATTGAAACTATTTTAAAGTCTAAAATATGGTCTATCTTGGAGAATGTTCCATGTGTACTTGAGAGGACTGTGTACTCTGCTGCAGCTAGATGGAGTGTTCTACAGATATCTGTTAAAGTCTAGTTGGTTTATAGTGCTTTCCAAGTCTTGTATTTCCTTGTTGATCTTCTACCCAGCTGTTCTATCACTGAATGCCTTATGAGTCTTTAAATTAATGTAAAGGAAAGAGGGATTAAAAAAAAAGGTAATCGAAACTATATCATTTTATTCTCCAACAAAGACTTAAAAGCCTATTTTTGTTTTGGGGGGGAAAAATTACTCTTGCAAATAACATAAATATCATCTATTATAGAGAAATTTTATACGACTTTTTTAGGCCTAAGACAGAAAAAGGGAGAAATTAATTTTTTTAATGTTTATTTCTTTTTAAGAGAGAAAGAGGGAGAGAGAGAGAGAGCAAGCAAGGGAGAGGCAGAGAGAGGGGGAGACACAGAATCTGAAACAAGCTCCAGGCTCTGAGCTGTCAGCACAGAGCCCAACGTGGGGCTCGAACTCTGAACTGAGAGATCATGACCTGAGCTGAAGTCGGACCCTTAACCAACTGAGCCACCCAGGTCCCCCAAAAGGGAGAAAATTTTTAAAGGGAAAAAACTTCTACCGAAAAAGGGAAAAAAAGTTTCTTCTATCTACACTACTGACTTATATTAGCATTGATATTCTTTGTGGGGAATGCGAACCACATAAAAAACATATGCTAATAAGGTAGCCAAATAAACATCCACAAAAAATGTTGTCTACTCAAAAAAAGTACTATCGTTATTGAATCATTCTATCTTTAAAACATTTTTTTTTGACTTCCAAATGACTTTATTTGGAAAACTTGCCAAAAAAGGTTAGGTGAATACATAATGAATTAAGCAGGGCAATCTGTTATTCAACCTCATTTACATCCATGGTTTTTACATGAGATGTTATCATGGGGTCTGAGGTAAACTAATAATGGTCTCCCAAATATATCTACATTGCAAACCTAGGCACCCATGAGTTATTCCTTACGAAAAAGGAACTTTGCAGATTCAATCAAGATACGGGGACTAAAGTAAAGAAGACCATCCTAGTTGATCCAGGAGCGTTCAATACAACCACAATAGTTCCTATAAGAGGCATCCAAAAGTGAGAGTCGGAGAAGGTGATGTGATAACATAAGCACAGATTGGAGTGATACATTTTCAATATGGAGAATACAGGCAGCCACCAGAAGCTAAAAAAGACAAGGAAACATTTTCCCTCCCTAGAACATCCAGAAGGAACCAGCCCTGCTGACTTTAGTCCAATGACACTAACCTTGGACCTCCAACCTCCAGAACCATGAGTTGTGTTCTAAGCCATCAACTTGATGGTAGTTTTCTGCAGCAGCAAGAGGAAACCAATACAGCATCCTAGTGAAATGTTTATCAAACCCGGTGCACATAAGAATTACTTGGGCAATTTGTTGTACAGATCCTTAAATTCTATTCCTATAAATTCTGATTTCCTAAATCTGTGATGAGGCACAGAAATCTAAACTTTCTAAGAAGTTTCTCAATGCTTGCACTGCAAATTAGGGTACAAGTCAAAAGAAGAATGGTTGGGGAAAACTCACTGCTTCAATTAGTATCCTAGGGCTGCCGTAGTAAATCACTACAAACCCAAAATTTTAACACGACAGAAATATATTCCCTCACAGCTTGGGAAATCATAAGTCCAAAATCTGTCCTGAGTCAAAATCAGAGTCCACAGAACCACACACATTCACTCTGGGAGCTCCAGGTGAGGATTTGTTCCTTGCCTCCTCAAGGCAATTCCCTGACTTGTAACCACATCAATCTTTGCCTCTATGGTCACTATGTTGCCTCTTCTGTGTAGATCAAATCTCCCTGAGCATATCTCCCAAAAGACACCTGCAATTGGAATTAGGGCCCATTTGGATACTCCAGGACAATCTCCTCATCTCAAGATCCTTAGTTTAATCACCTCTGCAAAAATCCCTTTTCTTATAAGGTAACACAGGTTCCAGAAACTAGGTAAGATCTGACCTCTCCAGGTGGCCATCATTCAGGTTACCCCATTACCTTAAGTGTCCTTCAAGGTTATTCAAGGATGAAGACAGTAGAGCTGAAGTAAACTTTCCAAAAATACAAGACTAAAAGCTTTTGATTCTTTACAAATTACAATTCTCCTTTTGATTCTTTACAAATTACAATTATACTATTAAAACCCAGTCTCAATGGAGTATTCTGATGATCAATTAGCTATAATAAACAGGGAACTGGAGATGATCATAATAAAATACCAGGGACTATATAAATAAATTTTATACAGTTTCCCCAAGTCCTGAAAATCATTTCAAATCATTTTCCACATAAATGATTAAAAAGGGTTGGGAGTAGTTTGGCCACTAAGAATTTAGAAACACCTTTTAGGATTTCTACATTGCTTTATCACAAAATCCTTACTAATAAAATAATTCCTTTGTACCATTCTCAGAAATCTGATTTTCTCACCTCCAATGTTCCTTCAGTCAACCGTTAAGAATCAAGGCCATTTATAACATAACAAAGCTTTATGAAAGCCTGAAACCCAAGCAATAACAAACTACCAAGAGGTGCCCAGAAGAATTCTACATATAATGAAC